GAGAAAATAGATTTTTCGACTAGCTACTAATAGGTCAAAGCACTAAGGACTCTTCTGCCATTCAAGTTTTCGTAAAAAAACTAGATCTCTAATCACTACGATATTCTTTTTAAAAACTATCTTTTCTTATGATGAAATCTCATGGCAAATCTATTGAATGTTATATTTTGTATAACAAAAAAAGTGCCGACCTCTCCAAGTAAAATTCAATGAACTCTACTAATCGTAAATAGTAAATTTTATATAATTATGAACTACTAAACTATTAAACTTCTTGCCATGTTTTTATTCATAATTATGTACTTTTTAGAAAATTTTTGACATTAGTGTCAGATTTTTAATTAACTTAGACATTCAGTAAATCAGAACTTGAACTTCTATGTTTCTCAAAAGTCTTTTTGGATAGAAAATCTAGAGACAGTTTATTTTTCATTGAATCCTAGTTTAAAAGTATATGTCATAATATAGAGTCCGATGCTGATCATCAGTGTTTGATTGCTTCAAAGTTCTTGAGTCTCAATTTATAATATATTTTTGAAAGAAAAAGAGAACTAATCATAAAATCCTAAGTGAATGTTATTTTGAGATTATTGTTTAAACTTAGACAAATTTTATAATAAGGACTTATTGAAATATTAAATTGTTTCATAAAAAAAAATGTTCAATTTTCGCGTGCGCCAAAATATTTCTCATTTTTTAAGAATCCATAACGACTAGTAGTTATTTGAAATAGTGCAACTCAAAACAAGGAGACATCAATTATATTTTCATTTGTAATAAACGTTTCGAGAAATTAACTTTTTTTAATTCGTGGAATGTAGATATTAGAATGCTAGAAAAAAAACTTTTACTGTGCGCGAATATGTTACAATCTCAATAATCAATGTTCAGTTTGTTGTGTATCTGATCATTGAAGATTAAGTTTACAAGAAAACGCCTGTTAATCAAAAGAATATTTTTGAGTCATTAATTGCCTTATTTTTCTTTTCGTTGAGATTCGTAGAGTTGTACAGGGAGCACTTTCTCAGAAAGTCCAATTTTTTGGAGACGAGTCAAAACTGAAGTTTTATCATAGGAAGATGCATCAAAGTCTCTTCTTTTAGAATATCTATGGTTTACCAAAAAATCAATTGATTTTGACCAACTTATTGTCTAAAACTTGGCTCCTACTAGCATATTTTTCGGGAAATTTTCAGGTTTGTCGATTTTGTAGACTGCTTTCTCTTTGCATCAGTGTTTTATGCAGTTTTTTTTCTATAGTATTTTCTAAGAGAGTATGGATATTTAATATTAAGATCATAAATTTATAGCCTGTCTTGCACGTTGATATATAAATCACGTGATTTTCGGAAAAAAATGATTTCTAACGCTTATGTTTCGTTTTTCTCTGAATCGAGTTTTTCAAGAGTACTGTTTATGTGGGGGAAAGGTTTTTTTAATAATGACTCAGTAAACGAGCAAGAATTTTGTTTTCGTACATAGAGGATAATTAGGGTTAGACCCTCACAATATTTGATTTTTGAATTTCTCTTTCGGTAAAAAACTAGTACAGCTCATTTTTATTAGCAGCTTTTTTTGGGCATGATTTCTTTAATTTTACGAAAAAAGATTTTTTGAAAAACAAAAAAAAGGAAATTCGAAAATTGGGCTTTGTAAGGATCAAGCCGTATGGGTACTGTACAAAAAGTAAATCGTCCGGAGCTTGTTAGCTCGTTCCGTTATTGCGAAATCTTTACCCATTTAAAAAGTAATCACTTGACAAGGACTTCCGCATTTCTTTGAGATTTGGGGAAGGTATTTTAATCATAAGCTATTCAAGTCAAGACTAACATTCTGGGAAATACGGATGAAAAATAGCAAAGTTCGTGCCTGAGAAGAGGCTTAAGTGAATTAGGATATTAATATATTAATGCTTAAATCAACTTTATTTATCATCAAATATATTTTTCGAAGATCTTTTCTACAATTATAATTTATTTTAATTAAACTATTATTGAAACATTAACAGAAATATCTATTCATTTTTATACATAACTCTTATGAATATATTCAAACAGAAAAATATTAGAACTTTGATTCAACTTATGATCTGTATTCTTGATGAAATAGTTTAAAGAATTTTTATCATAAGTTCGAAGTTGTAAGTTTTTCTATACAGTTGAAAATCATTATCAGAATCATGAAACTTTATAATAAAAAACATGACCTGTATCTTTGATTGATTATCAACATTTTTTCTCTATCGAACACAATGATTGTCTTCTAACTTTTGCTCGTTTTTAATAAGATCGACTGAAATAAAATATGATCGAATACATTTTACTGATGTCAGAATAATTTATCGAAGAAATGAAGATAAACCATAAAGCTTCTTACAATTCTTTGAATTACAATAGATTTACTGAGAAAAATTTACAAGACACACTTCTTTTTTCATCTATAAACTCTAGATCATTTGATCATAGCTATTTAAGTTTGTGCATAATTCAAAAGTAATTTAGTCCATATTCGTGATTGAAGTTATTGATTCAAATCATCAATACAAAAATTGTGTTAAATAAAACGAAAAATTTTTTTCATTTCTGTCTATCGCAGAATAAAAGATTTCATATCATAAAAATGAAATCATCGTTTTATGCGATACTATGTGTAAAATTTTTTGTATCGAAGGTTATTCCTTCAAAAATGGATGTCAATCGAGGAATATTCGAATTATACGAAATTCATAATATATGGAAGCTAATGAACCATGGTTATAGTGAAATCTTCAGCCATAAATCATGACTTTTCAACGAGGCATTCACCCATCACAGGATAAAAATAGTTTGACTGGTACTATGCAGTTCAACTTATATTTTGAGAAAAACAGCTTATCTTTTCGAATAGGAGTGAGAACAATCTTCAATAACTTTTGGAAAAAAAAAAGAAGTACCAAATAAAAATTTTTATCGCACATGAAAGAACAGATGATAGATTACGTTCTGATGGATTTATCTCAGTGTGAACGATTCTCATCAAAAACATGACTTTTTTTGACAAGATCTAAAACTAAGAAACAATGTCGACTGCAAATCGCTTGAAATACATCAGTCTAATACAAATATTCATATATACTCGATAAGCCTTCAATATTTATTCCTAATAGATTTAAACAGTTTTTTTTTCTAGAATGGCAAATTACTGGTAATATGAATTTTGCACGAGCACGGCATACAGCATCCGTTTTGACAAATGGAAAAGTTTTAGTTACTGGTGGAGAATATAATGGTTCTTCTCTAAACAGTGCAGAATTGTATGATCCATCAACAGGAGTTTGGACAACGACTAATAATATGAATTCTGCACGAAAATGGCATAGAGCATCCGTATTAACAAATGGAAAAGTATTAATTACTGGTGGATCTGACGATTATTCTTTTCTAAATAGTGCTGAACTTTATGATCCATCAACAGGAATTTGGACAACAAGTGGTAGTATGAATTTTAAACGCTGGGTACATACAGCAACCGTTTTAACAAATGGAAAAGTATTAGTTGTTGGTGGATCGCCTAGTCCAAAGACTGCTGAATTATATAATCCATTAACTGAAATTTGGGAAATGACTGGTGACATGAATCTCGAACGAATTTTTCACACAGCGTCAATATTAACAGACGGAAAAGTATTAGTTGTTGGTGGACGGTTGGGGTCGGTAGATGAAACTAATACTGCTGAATTGTATGATCCATCAACAGGAAATTGGACAATGCCTAATTCTATGAATTATGAACGAAAAGATCATACGGCATCAGTGTTAATAAATGGAGAAGTTTTAGTTACTGGTGGAGAAAATAATAATTCTTTGCTAAATAGTGCTGAATTGTATAATCCATTAACGAAAAATTGGATATTGATTAATTCTATGAATGAGAAACGGGCTTATCACACGGCAACCGTACTAAAGAATGGAAATGTGTTAGTTGCTGGTCATTCACTTAATATTGCTGAATTGTATGATCCATCAGCAAAAACTTGGAGATCGGCTAGTCCTATGAATAGTAGACGAGGTTCTCCCACAGCATCTCTACTAACAGATGGAAGAGTATTAGTTGCTGGTGGATCCTGGCTTCTTTTTGCTCTCAACAGTGCAGAATTGTTTTATCCTAATGTAACAAATGTATGAATTAAAATTAATTTTAATATACAAATACATACTACACAATAATCAGAAATAATTCGAGAGTATGATGTGGACCCTAGTATAAAGAAGACTTTCATACACAAACTCTGATAAAATGGAATACAGATGTGACAGAAACAGTGATTCTTGAGGGTGTGGGTTGGCATAAGAACGGTACTCCCACACCCCACCCTATAGTGAAACTTTGAGAATATATTGAGACTAATAAAGGACGTTTGTGATTAAAATTTCAATGGCCACTGATTCAATATGATAAACTGTTTTTATTTGAAAGAGCAAGTTTTTGATAAAGTAGCTATAAAAATCTTTTTTTTTCTTTTTATGTTGCTTGAAGAAAAAACCTTGACAAATTTAATCATTGAAAAACCCTTCAAAAATGACGCTTATCTTATAAAATTATCTTTAATATAGTCATAGCGAAAATTTATCAGAAAAAGGGTTCTCATAAGCATTACATTGTTCCATACAATAAAAGATATTTGTCGTTAGATTAAATTATGGGTAGCTTTCACTGGACATGTATTGGTCGACCAGTATTTTCAGAAATTTTCTGGTTAAAGGGAGATATCAAAGAAATGCTTTTGTCGTTTTATGAAAGAAAAAATAACAACCTATTTTTCCCTTTATTCATCTCAGCTTTGACGATTCTAATGCAGACAAACTCTTTTGAGGAGTCTCTTAAACTACAAATTAGATTAATTTGAAAGAAAATTTATGTAAAACATGCCACTATTATTCGTAAATACGATAAGTTATAAAACTAAATGATAATTGCTTATAATCTTTTCAAGTACAATGAAAGAACATACGCACAGATAAGACTTTAAATTATGCACAATTGATGAAACAATTAAGAAATTTTCGTTGAAGCAAAAATTAACCGTCTATATGAGTAAGTCAATTGAAAAAATAATAATTTCTATTTTATACACATTATGGTGTCGTCTGCATGTCAATTTTCGAAGTTCGGTATACAAGCGAAACCGACTGCCACCAGTAATTATTCGACGTACATCAGAAATATTAATATCATTAAATGTACTTCGTCTTGACTTTTCAATAGTACAGTAAGAAATCTTTTAGTAGTTTTAAAGAATTTATTTATTTTCACAAAATACTCTCGATGTTGAATATCAGAAGGAAAATAATAGAAAGTGAATTAAGTAAGATAGATTAATTATCTAATAATCATTCATTTTAAAAGAAATCTGTAGTTTGTTCAACAGTTCATTGCATCATTAATGTATACGTATGATAAAGAAAAAAAAACATACAGGTGAATTTTGGCTAGTTTAAATTAGTGATTTTTTTCTTATCGGTTTATGAAACTAATAACAGCAGAGTAAATTAGATATGTAATAGTTTCTAAAGAGAAACACCAATCCATTCCACATTCCATCCATATGTTTGGGCCAAAGAAAGCAAACTTGAACTAGCTGCACCACTAATTGACTGAGTATAAACTCGAAATGAATTCTTTGTCGATGAATAAATAGCTGTATAACCCGTTAGATCCCAATGCGAGCTAGTACCAGACACACTAGTGAAGTAGAGTGGAGTTGAATTGAAACCACAGGCGCTCGAATCAATATCCATGTATAATCCACTAGCACTATATAGTTGCCAAAGCGTATACGATGACGTACGTCCACAATAATACTGTGCACTAGTCGCATTTTGTGCAACGGTTTGTGTTGTACCTAAGACAAATAAACAGTTAGATTATTTATGATATTTCAGAGCCAGTGTATGAATGCATAAGTCATAAACTATTCATTATCAATTCAAAACCTTCGGATCAATTTAGTATTATTTATACTAAGTGTTTGTTATGGAAAATCTTTCGAAATGGAAATCAAGTCTTTTTTTTACTAGACTTGGTGTATCCATAGCTCTATAAAACAATCTTGACTAAAAACATCTCGAGTTGTCAATAATTTCATAGATACTTTGTATATTAGTTTCAAAGAAAAACAATACTTACTCGTTGTGGTAGTGCTTGTCGTCGCTGTCGTTGATGTCGTGGTGGTTGTTGTTGATGTTGTAGTTTCTGTTGTTGTTGTCACCGTTGTTGTCGTTGATGTTGTCTCTGTTGTTATTGTTGTCGATTCGCTCGCACATGCTAAACCAAAGGGTAAAATATGATCAAATAGAAATTATCTTTCTTTCTGTAATATTATTCATAAGTGAACAAGATACGTCCCGGCAAAAAAGACTTCTTTATCAATTATAGGCACAATAAAATGTTAACGATCA